AATCTGACAGACGGCTTAAATGGCATTACTGTAAGCTTTATATATATAACATAATTGTTAAAACAAAGCTAATACTACTACTATTACAAATCTAATAAATCTGTGCTTTTATATTCCAGTACTCATATTCACTAAAAACGTTACTATTGAACCCTTAGATACTTTTAAGAAACTTGCCAACAATGAAAAAAATATGATAAAAGTTGGTTTAAGAATTTGAGCAGAGTCTATTGAAATAAAGCAGAGTGTATTCAAATATATTAATTTTTACATTTACATATTTTCATTAATGTATACGGATGTGTTTAAAATAAAACTAATGTTAAAACCTAATATGTTCAATTTATTGACAAAGGAAAATCGATAAAAAATATTTTATTGGTGCAGTTTTCAAACTATTTTTATTATTTATTTATTGAATTTTTTTTAATAAATTGTGATTTAACGTTTATTATGATATTAATAACTATTTTACTTAATAGAAACTATTGTATTTTTTTAGAGAGGTTTCAAAAAGTAGTGAACTAGGAAGGTTTCGAAAAGAAGTGAAATACAACAACAAAAATTTTTTTTATATATTATTATAATGAATTGAATTTTTGGCTCACAATACAGCTGTTTTGAGTATTGCCAAATATCCATCATTAGCGGTCTTAGAATTATTTCTTATATTTAATTATCGTAAATAATTTTTTGAGTCTGCAAGTAGTTGAAAACATCTTTTGTCAAATTTGAAGCTCAGGGCCAGCGTTCATTAGACAACTGAACCAAAGCCGTAGTTTTAGTTTATATTAATTAAATAATATAAAAAAGAATTTATTGAATTTTAAAAAATTCAACAAAAAATATTTTTTAATACAATCCTACTCTTGGCACAATTTCGCTACACCTATGATCTATTATTATTATTACTATGATATATTATTATATTATATTTAAATATTTTTGGATACGTGTGTTAATTTAATTTTTCACTCAAACTATAACAGACAAGCCGAGTTAGAATATTTCTGAAAACTAACAATTATTAAAGTTTTTCATCAGACTTTTCCAAAAAACAAAAAAAAAAAATAAACAATTGTATATACAAAAGTACTTTCTAATACCGATGTATGTTGCAGCGGCAAGAGAATAAAATTAAAGCAATTACATATTCAAAGAATGAACATATATAACTCAACAAAAAAATTTTTTATTTTAATTTGCACCAGAAGGAAGTACGAAAGAGGGTGTTCGAGTTTACACTGGATAGACAGTATGGATTAAACAGCGAACTAATTTGGAAGAAAAAAGACATACGTGGAGGAATTTTCAAAGGGAGGTCAAAACTCAACTAGGATCGTTGCAACACTAATGATGATGATGATATAAACATATTCAAATTCATCACACATATAATGACAAAAGAAAATTAAAAATAATTTATAATGTATTTTGAATATAAAACTATGCAAGGAAATTAATAATTAAATATATTAAAAGATTAGGTTATGTATATAACTTAAGTTTTAAAAAATTTATATAAATTGTGATTTATGTGCGAAATTATCATATATTAGAAAAATATTTATTGACTTACCCTGTATTGCATCGCAAATAATAAGCAAAGTCTCGGCTGCGCTCAGTGGCGTAACTACAGGGAAGCAACTGGAAGCAACGCTTTCGGGCCCCCGAATTTAGGGGGCCCCACTATAAATGTTTGTAAACGTTTTTTTGTTGGAATAACTTCATATTGCATTTTATAAAAGACACGTAAATTTTAAATTTAAAGTACATAATATGTATGTACTTCAAATAAAATATTAAACCTATTTATAAAATAAAAAAGTTTTTCTAAGAAAAGTATGTGTCGTAATCGAGAGTTTATATGGAAGCTATATCTAGATTTAAACCCATTTGAAAATAATTTTGTACGTTGTCTTTTGCAAATATCAGTACTGTATACACTAAATTCTATTTAAATACCTTTATTAAAAACGGAGAAACCTCATATCCGATTGTTAAGTTTATATCACAGCTGCAAGAAATAGACGTCAAATTTCAATCAAATCAAATGGTGAACAGGGTCGGCTAAAAGTATGTGTGTAAAGTTTCATTCGAAGAGTTCAAAAGCTGAGAGAGTAGTTTGAACTGAAAAAGTATATATATACTGTACTGATATATACTTAATGGTATTTCCGACGTTTCCTTTAATGCGTTACGAAAATCTTGACAAACCTTATATACCCTTTTCACATTTTTCGTGTAAAGAGTATAAAAAGAGGGGCCCCTTAGTATGTTGATAGGGGCCCCTTAGTTAGAATTTGCTTACAGGCCTAAAAAATGTAGTTACGCCACTGGCTGCGCTGCTTCGAAACATGTTGACATTAATGAGCACAGTTATTTTATTTCACTATTTAAAAGCAACATTAAAAAAATGTAATTTTATATGCAAATGTAGAAATACTTTCAGAAAAATTTACACACATTCAATAACTATTTTTTATTAAAATAATTTACGATTAAGAGGAATTTATTTAGTATACTACGCATTTGAAAAAAACCGTTAGTAAATATATGAAAAATAATTTTTTATTCAAACAAATTTACATTCCACATTCTAAAATGGCGTCCACATTTTTAGCTTCACTTCGTAAAATTTTTGTTAAATACACATTATGTTTTTAATTTACATATATTTATATATTGTACATTAGTATTTAATATTTTTATTTTAATATTAATTAATATTTAAACATTAAGAATTTGATACAAAACTATTTATTGAGATTTATTTTAGAAAAATTACTTTTCCGTTGGCAAACGTTTGCATTTATAACCAATCGTTTTCACGAACTTCACTTCACTGAATTCGGGCAGCTTTTATCAATCACACCTTCGCCTTCGTTGATATTTTGTCAAAATCTGATCGTTATGTTGTTTTACCCTTTACACCCTTCACTTAACGATACCACCTTAAGTTAAAGGGTGGTATTTAATTTTTGTTAAATTATTTAGTTCCACCTTAAAGCGTGCCTTAGAAAAGGCAATAAAATGATAAATGAGGATAACTTTGTATTAATCATTTAAATTAAAATTTTATTGCGTTATATTATAAAATATTATAGTATTATATTTTATTTTTTTTATTTTATGGTATTTATGTTTTATTAAATAAAAATATCCTTAAAATTAACACTTGTTATTAAAAAAAATTTTTTTATTTATATTATTATATTTTTTTTTATATGTATATTAATTTATATTAATCAATTCTAAAACGACTAATTAAAACTAATAATATTTCACAGAAAACAAAACTAAAAATGTACAAAACATTGATACACAGAAATAATAAAGAATACGGATTAAAATATCTTATTTAACTAAATTTTTATTGAACTAAAGATTCATCTATTAATTTATTTATTTATTTAGTTATTGAATTATATTTATTTATTATTTATAAAGTCCCAGTTACTAATAATTATGTTACTAACTCGTTTTCAATAATTTTAGCATTTTTGCTAAAAAAAATGACACTTTTTTATTGTACGTGTATATATTATTGTATTATATATTCACGATTTTGATCCGATACCACCTTTCTGGCAGAAGCATCATTCCACTCTCATAAAACTTCTTGTCTTCGGTATATTAAAGCTAATTCTTGGTATTTTTGATTTTTTCATATGAAGTGAGTGTTTTGCGATCTAAAATTTTTACAACGACCAGAACAAGTGAAAATCCTAAAATGTCTGTTTTAGAAAATATGTATTAAAATAAATCTTATTTGAACTGTAAAAACTTTAAGTGAGTTATCAAATTTGTATGACGCTTCGGATTATTTTCGAGAACACTATACTTATTCGTATTATTAATTCTATCCTTTTCTGTTTAAGTGAATAATTCAATTTGCCCCACTTGCATTAAAGCAAGTACATTGAAGAATCGGTTGTAGTACAGAATTTTCAATTAAAACTCAATAGCAAACAGACCATATCATCTTATTTGATAAATATCGGCATTCAAAGTACTTTAGTCAATTAATACTTTTAAACCAAACATTGTTGAAGACAATTTATTTCCGATCCAAAGTAGCGATTCTTCTCAAAATGGTTTATATTCGTCGGAACAAAATTTTTATGAAAAAATATATAAGACCTATATTACGAGTTTTATAATAAAACCAAGGCGTTTCGCATGATCAAGAACGATTAAATTTAATCAAATTAATCTCTCAGCAGATAGTTTTATCAAAAAAATTTATTGCATTATTTTTGGATTTTGTTAAATATCTTGAACATCAAAATTGGTGGAACGAAATTTGTACTTAAATATTCATCCCTAACGATAGTATCGACCGTATTTTTTAAAGCATTAAGCAAAAACATATTCCATAAAATATTTTATATTAACAAGTTGTGCCATATTAGCTATCAAATGCAGCTTAAGTGTGTTAAAAAAAACAGCCCGATAACAACCCAATAAGTATTTCTCTTCTGGGTCCTCTCCAATCCTCACTATACAACGACATTTATGATTACGATATTACAAACGGTGATGCATTCTCTCCAAATTTATTCGCCCACGTCTCGGTCATAGTTACTTCACACATAAACATCTTTTTGACAGTTTTCTTTCATCCAGATAGTTTTGTGACACCGATCCTTCTGCTTCAATTCACACTTTTCACATCATAGACACAATAATTTCCGTAATATCTCAATATCGAAACCCACAGGGGAAAATGTTAAAAAAACAATTAACTTGATCAATATAATTAAGGTATACAAATAAATATAACAATTCTGTATAATATTTATAATGTTTATAATAATAGCATAAAGGTATCATGTAAATTTAGTAGCTTAAGACCTTGTTCCTATAACACCTTGAATTATAGTATGTATAATATTGCTATAGTATGTATATTAATTATAAATAAATAGATGAGTTCTCTTTTTACTTTTGACATGAATAAAATTTTAAATTAATTTCTTTCCAATTATTTTTTTTAGCGCAAAAAAGTGTCATCCATTTCTATCCGCTACTCATGATTATAGTCATCCTGCCGATATACAAGAACATGGTTTTGGAGTAGAAGAGAGACTGCTTATCGATAATTCAAATGAAATTTACTATTTAAAACAAGGAAGTGAACACTCATCATCAGGCTTACATTCTCCTGCCATACATTCTTCCAATTATGACATAGAAAATATTAAAGATGGTAGTCAATCGACAACGGGTCACACGTCAATGCTCTCCAGTCCGTTTTTAAGTTCATCTTCTCCTATTATCGACACAAATCCTCCACTTCTGGCTACCAATTCTCCTATGCTAAATAAATTTCTAACACGACCAAATGTAGTTAATATGACAACTGATATGGAAGATGGTCCAATTGCTATGGACTCATCCATATGGAGCTATAACTATAAAGGAGACATATGTAATACAAACTGCACTTATTTGGAGCGACAAAAATTGAGTAGCGATATCAAATATAGTTCAGGGATAAATCAGTCGAAGTGTGCCAAAGAAACAAGAATTCGTCGACCTATGAATGCGTTTATGGTGTGGGCAAAAATTGAACGTAAAAAATTGGCGGAAGAAAATCCAGATTTGCATAATGCGGACCTGAGTAAAATGTTAGGTAATAATAAAAGATTTTTAAATCATTTAAGAAATTTATATTAATTTTGAGTTTATAAATTTTAGGCAAAAAATGGCGTTCATTAACACCGCAAGACCGTAGACCATACGTTGAAGAAGCCGAACGCTTACGAGTCATACATATGACAGAACATCCAAATTATAAATATCGACCGCGCCGTAGAAAACAATCGAAGTTACGTAAATTACAGACAAATAGTAAAGAACAGTCAGTGATACAGTCAACCAATAATTTGACAAGTCAAAAGTTGGGCACACCACCTACAATGAATTATATCAATTCATTAGATGACAACTTGTCAACTCAACTAACAACTTCAAATGCTAGAGCGATCTATGAACACACGCTTAAGTCTAATTATTCATCAAACTCTACAGATTGTTATAGTAATCCAGATACATTGGATACCATTGACACATTAAATTGTCATTCAATGCAAAATAAGGAACAAAACATGAAATTCGATATGCCACCAACACTGAAACAAAATACTAAAGTCAATAAACACACTGACAAACAATCCAAAAATAAATCTCAGTCCAACTCAAATGGACAAAAAGATATTGAAAAAGATTACAAATTAACAGATAAGGAAATGAAATATTCGCAAAGTTCATTTCAGACCTATCCCTTAGCTTCTTCCACTTCAATAGCTGTTGTCGCTGGACGAGGCATGTATGTTACTTGTAATAATCGTGGACTTTTAGACAATGGACACACAGTTAAAGGTACTTTCTACCCACCCATACCAATAATGGAACGAGACAGCCCGCGCTCAATTAATAGCACCACTCTGCCTAGCACAACGCCTGCTCACAACTCACCAACAAACATGTTGAATGCACTACAAACGACAAATTCCGAAATAAATTATCGCTTATATCCACAGGATATTACTTCAATCAACGTTAGGAATAATTTGCATAACAACAGTCCAACGAGTTATTTAGCCATGCCAAATCCATATACTTCCAATATAGTACAGTATGAAGAATATTTACGTTATCCAAATTCCGAAAATAATTTATCACCTATAATTTGTGACAATTCACTAGTTGAAACTAAAATTAATTCCAACTCAAAACAACATAAATATCCTGACACAAATCATAATTACGACAGTTATGAAAGTTATAGCAATGCTGGAGCAGATTTACACAGTTATTACACCCAACTGCCCTATGCGATCACTACTACCAATTGTCCATCCTCACCGTTGGCCTTTCCTCTACAATTAACAATACCAGTACAACATTCTCAACAATCTACTGAAAACTACGCACATCATCAGTCCGTTCAGAGCAGTTATTCTCACTATAATAATTATCCCCCCGACGACACTGGTCGGAGCACTAATATGGTTTTACAGGAAACTGCAATGCCTAATATACCGAATGTTTCACAAAGTCTTCATATGTCTCCGATACAATCACAGATGCACTCAGTCCCTGCCGTTACAGCCATGGCGTATTCTACACACAATGACTGCAACAGTGGATTAGCAGGTGATTTATTATATGAACAACGAAAGGAAGAAGAGATCAGCAACATTTTAGCAGGAGTACGTAAAACGTGTTACAGCAGCTGAAAAAAAGTTACTGAAATTATTCAAAAAAAGTTTATTAATTATTTTCTTTTAAAAAATTTTCATAAATATTTATAAAAAATTAGCTTAAGACATTTTTTTGTTAATAATTGAAGAAATATTTTTGCACTTTAAATAGATTTTTGTAAGTAAGTGAATAAAAGTATAAATAAAGAACAAACAAAGTTTGATAACAAAAATAACTTTTTAGTTTTTTATAGGTACTAATATAAAAGAAATTATTCATTCCTCAAGAAACCTTAATTAAACTAATATATATATTATAACAGTATATATATAAGACTTTGTGGTCCAAATTAGAGGGGACTCATACCATACACTACCCATCGCATCTGGCTACCTTATTTTGTTATATAGATGTTTTATTACACCTCACACTAAACTCCTTGATAATATAGTAAATGCCTCCAGTAGGATATATTTGCTGTGTATTATCCTTGATACTAGAAATAGTATAATGAAAACATTGGAAATTTAAGTAAAATCACTTAACTCTTTCATAGTATCCGTATGATCAGATTGAACCCACTCTTAAGTACTAGATTACTTCGCCATTGCCAATGGTCTTATGCATGAATGCAGCCTGTGATATCTTAATATCTTAGATTACTATTAACACAGAGGATAATTTAACGACACTCACCGTGTGATCTCATATTTCTGAAATTTAACAAAAGAATTCACATGCATCATCATCTACCAATCAAAACTAGTACAACAATCAAATCATAATAATACAAATAACAAAAACCGGTAGTTATAGTCAATAGAAATACACTCACTCTTTATTTCCTCTCTCTATATCCTCTAGAAAGGATTATAACTCTATACAAACAGGCGAAGATTTAATGTTTAGTAGACTCTCTTACAGCTAAGATATTTTGGTATGAAACAATAGCACAAACTTCTACACCAGCCCCTATGATTTGATCCATTTCAAAACTGGACCTGACTAAATTGTAAAAAAATTGAATGTAAGTTTCCAATTCGGTAAAACGTTCAAGCTACCAGATCTTAGTGAGTTCCAATTCAGTTGTATTTCAAATTAAAGCAATGAGGCTAACTACAATACAAAGCATCCTATTCTTTATGACGTCAGTAGCATATAAATATAAACGTTGTTTGATTCTAAAAAGATATTAAAATGAGAGCAATACATAAAGAAAATGTTCATTTAAAATAGTTATACAACTTACAAAAACTTTCAGATTTCTATAAGCAATCTCAGATGAGATTGATTCATTTCAGATGAAAAATGATCTAGCAACCAAGACTTAAAGAGTTTTTAACAACAATAATGCCAATTCAATGTTTCTAATATAAACTTTTGTAGCTAACTTAACAGACAACATATAATGAAAATATATCCAACTAAGTGATAGTTGTAAATATCTTACAGATCTGTAAGTGTGGTCTCATCGCTCGTGGGTTCGATGAGAGCCCAGTACAATTATTTTGATTATATTTACCCTGAAAAAAGGTGTGAAAACTAAAAATATTGGATATTATTGGATCAATTATTAACCTTGATCTCTCTTTCTCGAGATATGATGATTGAATCAGGAAAAGCATAATAAATCTTATATGTCGGAATATAATACTACTTTATAGTCATTAATATATCAAAAATATCAGTATTGATGATGTCATAAATTGAACCAAAAATAAAATTTATTTTTAGAATATAAATATGAAGTTCCGATTGTTGGTAAGGCCACATACTAGATGGATTGATAAATACCCTGTGTAAGTAATAAAAACGGAAATTATATTTCATGCTTCAGTATAGTCGCCTTTTAGCTCAACAATTTTGAAACGTTTGAATATCTTTTAAATATTACGATCTATCAAGTCCTTCAAAATATACCGCAGTTTCCCCTTCCACTTCATCTTTTGATGCAAATCTCTTTCTCTTGAGTTATTTTTGCAAGTTTGGGAACAGATAATTGTCACTGGGAGCCAAATCTTAAGAATACGTGGGTGAGGAAGCAATTTGTACTTTAATTCATTGAATTCAATGGTTTTCATTGACGTGTAAGCGGGTGCGTTATCCTGCAAAAATACTTAGCAAAAATAAATATATCTTTTAGTATTTACTAAAGTCAATGTTTTGAACTTTATTCTATTATTTTAGTGTAAATCACACCTTAAAAAAGGTGAAATATATTAAAGAGCTACTGCTTTATGTTATTATTATTATTAAAAGGGACAATGCTACACTATGACATATATGATCTGTTATGGAATGACTGGAGAGGTTAACCTTGCATGAACCTAAAATTAACCTGAGTAAGGCTATTGCCAAGCGTAAATTTATCTCTTGGAGCAACATTCAAGACCTTATTTGATTTCATAGAAACTTTTTAATGTTAGTAAGTATGTTAAACTTTGTTAAGAGATAGTAGTTCCGCAATATCTCCACTTAATTATTTTACATATACCTTACTGAAATCTATCAATAGATGCTTACGCTTCTCCAGTGGCGTCGCTAAGCGTCAGCGATGTTGGCGAACGACGACGGCCTCGCACCCACAGGGGCCTCTCAAAAAGTTACAGACTGTGGATTCTATGCACTTAATAAATATTTTGAACATTTTGGTTTGATAATGGCATTGACCATATTCGAAGTATTCCCGAATGTTTATATAGTAACCAGATTCATGCTCACAGTTCCAGTCAGTATAGCTTTGTCGGAAAGAAGCTTTTCAAAGTTAAAATTAATTAAGACGTATTAGAAAAGTATGATGATCCAAGAGACACTATCTCCATTGGAAATTCTATAAACTGAAGCAAAAATATCAGTTGGCGCAAATTATGATATAATTTAAAAAAAAATTGAGTGAGGCTAAAAGTAGGAAAAATTCATTTATTTTAATTTTTGTTTATTTTAATTTGATTAGCAATAAAATTTTCAACAATGTAACTTGAAAGTTTACAACTGGGTTATAAAGGGGGCCTCGCTATTCTGATGTCGCCGACGTGCAGAGTTGGTCTAGCTCCGCCACTGTGCTTCTCAGCGAATTCAGGTTTTAAAATATTTAATCTACTACTTAAAATTATCAGAAATATGAAATAAATAAAGCTTAATAGTTAATTATGGAAGATCGACCTTTGACCCACCTGCCTATTTTCGTTCTAAACAAATAAATTTACTCTCCTTGTAATAACATTATAAACTAAAATTTAATTTATTTCCATTTTAAGTATATTTATCTAAAATTGATATTAAAGTTTACTTTTAAATATTTTTAGCACTTACTTGACATTTGCCTATTAGACAGTTAATTCAACTGTCTTTGGTACTAAAATGTTTTACATACAAATTTTACAGGACATGCGCAAAATAATTCCTCTGAAGATATCCTTATCATTTCATTTTAACCCATTGGCATTTGGTGTTTGCTAAAAAATATTTATTCTTTAAATAATTTAAAAATTTTCTGTGATTTTATTATTTCCATATTAAGTAGTAGTGCAATAAAGAGCGTTTTAAGTTTTTAATATTAAATCGCACTATATTAAAAATCAATTGAGATATAGTGCGATTAAAAAGGTGAACAAATATTTACGTACATACTCGTTATGTAGTTTAGCATTCATTTGTATTTATAATTATTATTTTTACATTAAAAACTGATTGGAATGTCGTTTCATTTAATTTAGATGCCAAAAATTTGAACCAAATGTGGAAAATAATATCCTCATTTATATAAGAGGAAAATACAAATCAAAAAGAAGAGTGAAAATTTTTTTTGCTTATAAGCATCTACAAAATCGATATCTACAGTTACGTAGAAACAACTCACACCGCATCACCGCCATCTTCACCAGTTATAAACATTGAACTCGTACTGTCATCGTCGTCTTCATTGTTGTTACCGTCATGTCATTCTTAGCTAAATTGAAATCAACACCATTACCTCCTCTTCCACCTATTAAAAATATATTGAATGTTGCCGTGCAAACAGCTCGACAGCATATGCCAGAGAAAAAGGACTACGAACAGCCAGCAGGTACTACATCTCAGCAACAGTTCGCCAGTCATACGCGGGAAATGTTTAATTCCAATGATGAAAATGCTACAGATTGTAAGAATTATAAAAAAAAACTGATTTAAAAAAATCAATAATTTATATAATTTTTTTTTTTTTTTGTAGTAACTAAACAAGATAGAGGAACGGAGTTAAATCCATTTCGTAATCCAAATGGATGGATGGATACCAACAATGCTGATTACAAAACAGAGGAATATCAAACGTCATTCGTAGTTAATGAATATGATGGCAGATATCAGCAAACAGATGGATTTCGGTAAGATATAAGTAATATAGTTAGAGATATTGTTCAAATATCTTAACAAAGTAATGTTTCACGGCTTTTATTGAATCCAATGAAGTGTATGCAAGGATATTATTACATTTGTTAATAACCGTAAAATTACTCAGGGCAACTTAGAAGACTTTGTCCAGGGATAGTGCAATTGATCTTATAAGTCACAGTGCATCATTGTACGTATTATTAATAAAATAATAATAATACTCGTATAAAGACGTTCTTCGGAATACGAAGAGAGAGAATTCTTTCACACATTATATAAAAATATTGAAAGCAATAGTTTATATAAAGAATTCAGTTGCTTCCATCAGAATGGAAGTTAAAAAACTCTTTAATAAAAATATCTTATTAAGAGTTCTTCAACATATCTCACTTAAGAAGGGTTCAAATAGTAATAAAGCAGCAACAACAAAAATTTAATTAATTTATTGAAATTTGGTAGACCATACAACGCTGTTTCGAGTATTACCTAATAGTCCTCATCAGTGACCTTAGAAAATATTCAAATTTTTATTTGATTAGTTTATAGTCCGTATATAATTTATTGGACTGCAAGTGCCAGGCTTTATTTAAGAATCAATTGCATATTGAAACTTCAAAACATTCTTTAATAAATAATGAAAAACCTATTAATTTTTGCTAAGTAAAGTAG